TGGAAGAAAGGAACATACAATGCATTTTGTGATATAATACGAGTTGTGTTCTGGAGGGGGCAAATAGATCCAGACAAATTAGGCTACAAGGGCTTTCTGTGAAGGGAAACTTTTTAAGAGAATCATGAATAGCAAGAATGATAACCCCCTTATTCATCTGATATGATGAATACATATCAGGAAGAGAATATGTACTTGGCCAAGGAGATAGCATGTGAGCTGGGTTTTCAATGGCTCTAAATGGAAGGTCTATATGCTGTGCCACTAGACATCAGATGCAAAGAAGGCAGATGCTGAGATAAAAAATACCATACATGGAGTTTATTAGGGAGTGTTATGGGATCAATACCCTTGTGGAAAGAGAAGGCAGGCGGATTGAGCAGAGGGGATTAGGGAGCTTCAGTGCAGTTAGGCAGTGGTCTTGGCCAATTACAGGCTGTGGGAGATGCTCTAAAGCTGGGCTGACCCTTCAGAGGTGAAGTGAGAAGTCTTAGCCTTTATACCTTTATGCCTACCAGTCATTGGACCCCAGAATGGGGGAGAAAACTTGGGCTAAATGACCAATTTCAACAATTTCAAGAATGACCCTAAAATCTCAATTTATCAGACATTGATACTTCTCAACAGAGGAGATGACTGAATCAATTTGCCATCTTTCACCCTGGAATTCTCTGTCTTCCAGAGGTTTGGTTTCTTTGTGTCCACAACATATTCTTTGTTCAACTAGTTATCGTTACAGTCGTAGTTTAATTTCACTCATCAGGGGCATAAGAATCAGAAGTCCTTACAGAAAAAAATCTTGGTTTGTACTATTTTCCTTAAAAGGCAGTTATTGTTATGGGGAGCACCTGAGATATGATAGTTTCTACATACAACTTCTTTAAGAGGGAAAAAGTCCATTGAATCTGGCTGCTGTGAAAAGGTAGTGATACAAAAGAAACTATCCTACATTTACATGGTGGAATACTACACAACATAAAGAAAGAAGGAGCTCCTACCCTTTGTGACAGCGTGGATGGAACTGGAGAGCATTATGCTAAGTGAAATAAGCCAGGTGGTGAAAGAAAAATACCATGTGATCTCACCTTTAAGTGGAACCTAATCAACAAAACAAACAAGCAAGCAAAATATAACCAGAGGCATTGAAATTAAGAACAATCTGACAGTAACCAGATGGGAAGTGGGAGGGGATAATGGGGGGAAAGGACAGAAGAGTTTTCAGGAACAACTATGAAGACATATGGACAAAACCAAGGTGGGGTGGATTCAGGGGAGGGAGGTGGGGATGGCTGGGGTTGGGGGGCATGGTGGGAGGGAAATGCAGACAACTATACTTAAACAACAGTACAATTAAAAATTTTTTTAAGTAGGAAAAAAAATGAAAGAAAAGAAACTATCCTTACCAATCCTCTCCCATCTAGGATGCTTGCTTACCTCCATTTATTGAGAAAATATGAGATGAGTAACCTCAAGCAGACCATGCCTTCATCTGCTTAAAGTACACTAAGGCTATCAATAAATAGGTGTGCGGTTTGTAATGTGTAGTCACAGGATCAGCACCATCACCATCACCTAGAAATCATTCAAAATGCAAATACTCAGGCCCTGCCACAGACCTGCTGGATCAGAAAAACTGGGGCTGAAGCCATTCAATCTGGCTTTAAAAAAAAAGATTTTATTTATTTACTTTTAGAGAGAGGGGAAGGGAATAGGAGAAACATCGATCTGAGAGAGAAATATTGATCAGTTGCTCTTATACGTGCCCCCAAGCGGGGACCGAAACCACAACCCAAGTGTGCACTCCAGTCGGCCAGTGATACTTCACTTTGCAGAACGATGTCCAACCAAGTGAGCCATACCACTCAGGCCATCATTGAATCTGCTCCAACAAGCCCTTCAGATGGTTCTGATGCATGGGACTTAATTTACTGCAGGTGATAAGTACCTTAAGTCAAATTTCTAAAGGGGCCATACTTTTTATTCTTTTTTTTAAATTTCAAAAATAACAATTTTTTTTTCTGGTTTGAAATGATTTCATAAACATGGGAGAAATATTTAAAAAGTGTAAGAGAATTAAAATTCTGTTGCATGTATAGTACCACTGTAAACATTTTAGTGTATTTCTTTTCAGATATGCTTCATGCATGTTTTATTTATAGAAAATATGATGCTATACTTCTTTTGTAACCCAATCATTGATTTATTAATCTGCTTAGCCAAGTACAAGTAGACATAACAAGAATAACTCTGATGATGCAGCCTATGGTTACAAATGAACTTACCTTTACTCTGAACCCACCCACAAATGACTACTAGGAGGGAGTCTAGACTTCTAAAGTATTTCCCTTCCTGAAGATCTATAAGTTCAGAACTCTGGTTTTTAAAAAAAGGGCACATATTTAAAAGCAAGCAATTTTTATGTTGTACAAAGCAGTTATAACATTTATACAAGCATGATGCCAACTTAATAAAGCTAAATGTTTGGGGACACAATAGCATGTAAAGTGTTGGTTTTAGCTTCTACTTGTGAGTATTATCTGCTTTAAGTTTCCACTTAGCAGCTCCTCCATCCTGTCCTCCTAAATTATTAGGAAAGAAATGTCCAGGTAGAGAAACTGTCCTTTCTTTAATGCAAGACTGCAAGGAGTGTATGAACTTGAATAAGAAAAGACAGTAGCAAATGATTAACATTAGTGCTGCCAGTACTTTACAGTGATACTGTACGACATCGTCCAGACCTGTGGTGCCTAGCACATGGTGCTAGCTTTCAAGTCCGGCAGACTTGGGAAGGAATCTTCTCTGGCATTTGCTAGCTTTGTGGCTTGTGGTGTTACTTTGAGCAAATTACTTAACCTTTAAAGCCTTCTTCTCCTCATCTGAGGAAAAAAAGATAATAATGTAACTACCTTGCAAGGTTAATTTGAGAACTGAATAATATGTTAAGTGAAATATTTAATTTGGAAATTTTCCTGGTTTAAAAAAACGACAAAATTTCTGCAGACATGAGAAGCAAATGACCTGTGTTTACAGTTGAGTTTTGGTAAATATTTCTGTTCTTTCCACTTCTCTACCTCCATGTAACTTGAAGGTGAATAGGTCAACTTTCAAGTTGAAATGTGAACTTGACAAAGACTCCCCCCTGAGTCCCCAGCCTCTACTTCCTTGCTCCCTTTGCTATTGTAGCTGACCCTGCCTCACTCTCAGGGTTCTATTTGGTTCCTCCTCATCCCTTTTAGGACAAGTCTGGAAGCATCTGCCAAGAGCTAATACACTTACTTACACTAATTAAGCTGAAACAGAGTATGTTTTGTTCTTCAGCAAGCTTTACATTCAGTGATAACTTTCATCTCAAATTATACAATGAGTCCGAAGCAGAACATGACAAAGTAGTAGAACTAGATGCAGATTTAGGGAGCATGGCTCTGCTTCCTACAGTGGACAAAGGTCACTATGACTGGGAAAGTGACCAAGGCTCAGTGAATTTCAGTTTCCCTGGCCTCACATGTGTTCCTTAATGATTTCTGGGAGCTCCTAGCTGGAAGAGCTGGCGTCCTTCCTCACCAGCCTATCCCAGGAGTGGGAACCTTCTCCCTTGGCACAGGTGCTCTTCTCTCTGACCAGCACTCCTCCTTCTGCCGGCCCCAACCAAGGGCAGGCTGGCTCAGTCCTGTTGCTTCTAACCTGCACCTGGCACTTCCTTTCACCAGGAAGCATCCATCCAGATTTCTGGTAACTCTGACTTGTTAGATACATTTCAATTTATTATTCTGGTTGGCAAAATTCACATACTTAAAAATTTAATTATGAAAACATGTTGTAAAACTTCTCCCACTCTGTCTTCCTCCCTTAGTCTCTCTTCCTTCACTCCCCCAATACAAGTAATCATTGCAATTTATTTCTTATATATCCTTTACTTATTCATACATAAATGACGTCAAATATAAATCTCATATTGTAATTTCAAATATAGAATTTTAAACACACTTCTGCAACTTGCTTACTTTTTATACTCTTTTACTTTAAATTTTTACTTTTTTTATGGAAAGAGCAACCCTCAGGCTTTACTCCAGCTAAATAGTGTTCCTTTGTTTGACTACACATTATCAGTCTTGAATTAGAAGAATTTGGGTGGTTTCCTGTCTTTTGATATTACAAATAATGGTGCAATGAATAGTAGTGTATTTACATAAGTCATTTCACACATATGCAAGTATTTTTTCTAGGATACATTTCCAAATCTAGAATGGATGGATCACAGGCTATATGCAACTATAATTTTGACAGAGACACCAAAATTCCTCCACAGTGCTTTGGAAAATTTTAAGAGCATCCCTCCCCAAAATCTCTGCAAGAATTTTTTAAAATCAAACTTTGAGCTTTTACATACCTGATAGTTTATAAATGTCATGTTCTTCACTTAAAATTTTTACTTTCATTATTATGAGTGAGGTAGAGCTGGTTTTCATTTTTTTCCTCTGCAAACTATTTGTTCATATATTTTAGTTATATTTCTATTTTTGTCACCTATAATAAATATTCAGTGTGTGATGATATTTTCATATCATGCAATGCAAATTATTCTTAGTATTTCACATTGTTTCTATCAATTTCTAGCAAATAAGAAAATCATTGGAATAATGTCCTATTGTCTAGAAAAGTATGATTACAGTGGAAACATATTTTATTATATTTACCCACCTAACTTTTATGAAAATACACCCATTTGAAGAACCAATTATGAAATATTAATAAATAGATTTTTAACTCATAAAAATTTAAGAGGGATAGAAAATATAAATTTTCTAAAATAAAAACATTACTAAAATGAAAACATTTGTCAATGTCCATAATCTTAAGGTACAGATATATGTATACACACAAAACCAGAACTATGCTACCATGTCATGACAAAAAGAATTGATAATGTCTGGCGAAGTCCTTCCATACCTCCGCCTACCTTATGCTTTTAAAGCCTGCAGTTGCCTCTTGCTTCACATGGTTCAAGGGTCCATTTCTTGTTTGCTTGGCTTTCCTGTGAGTCGGAACACAAAGAATAAACACCGGTTGATTTCCACATGGACAACAGTCCAGGCACAGCTGCTGTATTCCTGGTTTTCCAGGTAATCACGAATCCTTTGGAAGTACATTTTAGCCTGTAACCTAAGGTTGTCACTACCTACGGTGTCACTTTTCTGATCTGCTTGCAGTTCCATGAACGTTTCTAGGTATTCTAGTTGTTGATGAAGTTCAATAAGGAGCTTCTTCATCCGACTTTCCTCCCAACCACCCAGAGAAATATTTGACCCAAAGAGGTTGAAGATCTGCTGAAGGGTTTCATGAAGAATGGTCAGTGCATATCCTTTCCCGTGCTGGTCGGGACTTACAGCCTTCGGGGGAAGCAGGAAGTTTTTCCTATGTGGTAGACACTGCTGGACTGATGAGGTTTGCAAATGATTCAAAAGTTTGAAACTTTCTCTGCTCACTCTTCTTTGCTGGAAGAGAACCAGTTTCAGCTCAAGAGAGGAGAGGGTGGAATAATAGGCCAGAAGCACCAATGCAATTTCAAGGAAGTGCTTGTTAATCATGGTGAAGGTCTAATATGCCACTTATCTTTCTGCAGACAGTAAAGCCCCAACTCTAGTGAATGTTTGCCTTTCATGAATCTCAGACTATTCTGAAAGGTGTTCTGTTTTGTTGGTTTTGTTTTCAAAGCTGTCATTTCTCCAAGTTTACACTTCAAGCTTTTTGGTTCTCTAGTCACAGTGATCATGGGACCTTTCCTCCACTTCCCCCATTTTGGCTGTTTGAGGAAGTAACTGAAAGAACTTGTTTCATTGTATTCTTTCCTTGACATAATTACAGACTGGTCACCCAATAAGATCTTCTATTATTCTCATTATTTGTTACACACACAAAGAACACAATATGCTTTCTAAATATTTAGTTGAGCTTCTTGAACATATTTTACTGAGAGTAATATTTTTTAAAGGGTAGTTTTCCACAGAGTAATGTTTCTCAGAGACTTAGTAGCATCTATATGGCACTTGGGAGCAAAAATTAAAATCCACACAGACTACTAAATTTAAAACTTCAAATAGAACTATAAATTTGCACAAATGCTTGAACAAATTAATCTTAAAATATGTTCCAGTAATCTTAAATTGTTTTGTATCTTATCCAAGCAGTTTTGTATCTAAGATTCTAGTCTATTTAATGTGAAAGATAAAAATGAGAAAAAGGTCATTAAAATTATTGCTATTGCAGAATGTTAGAAACAGCAGATAGCAGGGGTCCCCAACCTCCGGGCCTGGAACAGCTACTGGTCCAGGCCTGTTAGGAACTGGGCCACACAGCAGGGGGTGACCCTGAATGTAATGCACTTGAATCATCCTGAAACCATCCTATAGTAGGAGCTTAATACATGTATTTACTTAAAGTGAATCCATGTGCTCTACCACAAAGAAACACAACTTGTAACATCTTATATTTGACCATTTTTCTGCAGTCAGTTGGTGTACAAAATTCTAAGTGTTGAAAAGAGATACTCTGAAAATGTAGTCTCATCATCTATATGCTGAGCTCTATGCTGTTGTCACTTAGTCTGGTACTAATAAGTTGAAATCAACTGAGCCAGCATGCTCTATGGAGGAGTCCTTCCTTGTACAAAAGTTCAATTGCATTCATCAAAAGGTTACTAACATTTTGGGTGTGGTGGAATTTGAATGTACAGAGATCCATGAGAGTTAAACTACAGAAATTTCTTACTTAAGCTAACAAGGTAAATAAACGTCAAGCTCATGTCAAGGAGTGGGAGTTGGAAAGGAAAGAAAATTCTACACCTAACTGAACAGAGTGACAATTCTGTTCAAAGGTAGGATGTATTATGTGCCCATCACTTCAAACTTAACACCTAAGCCATGCATGCTTTGTCCTGGATATTGTTCTGTAAAGCATATGCTTTTGAGAAGTTTTTAAACTTTTCACTTGATCAAAAATTACCCAATAATTCTATTAGAGTTACTAGTTATTTGACATCTGCACATAGTGTTCCTCTAATTGGGACAATGGTGTCAGTCAGGCTGACATCATTTAGACATATGTCTAAATATGTCTAAATATCAGTCAGGCTGATATTTAGACATATGTCTAAATATCTCATTCACATTTTCATAGTGTCTGTGGGTGTGGATGTGGCATGCTGGGGCGGCTGGCAGGTGGAATGAGTAGAGATGTCCCTTCCATGCATACAAGGTTGGCTCATGCACCTGGTGAGCTGCAGGAGGCAGGTGAAGCCTCCAGTGCAAATGATCCAGAATGGAGTGGTGCTGGAGCCAGGCAGTGATGGTTTTTCCAACAAAGAGGGAGATGCCAAAGTGGCTGAGGCTGACTGGGAACTGGGTGGGACAGTAAAAACCTTGTATGCACACACTCTCCTAGGGAACCAGTGACCTTGCACAGTCATTCAGACTATAGGGCTCTGTTCTTTGCCACTGGCTGCTAAAGAAGTTACACGTTTAAGGAATGAATGGAGAAAAAGAAGGAAATCATTTTTGTCATTCAAATTATGGAATTCGTGTATTGAAGTCACGGAGACCTAGATTAGAGTATTCCCTCTACCATTTACTGGTTTTGTGACTGTGTGCAAATTACTTTTGTCCTCAGTTTTTTCATCTTTAAACTCTAATTTATGAAACATTTTATCCTAGAAAAAATCATAAGCAGTAAAATCTTCAACATTCCTTGTAGTAATATTTTTTCTCACATCTCAGGAGAGGGAAACAAAAGAAAAAAATAAACAAATGGTACTATATCAAACTAAAAAAATGTTTGCACAGCAAAATAAACAGACAACCCAAGGAATGGGAGAACATATTTGCCAACACATGTGATAAATAGTTAATATCCAAAATTTATAAAGAACTTATAAAACTCAACACTGAAAAACAACAACAACAAGAATATAAAATCCGATTAAAAAATGAGCAGAGGACCTGAAGAGACACTTCTTCAAAGAGGGCACAGATGGCCAATAAACAAATGAAAAAGTTCTCAACATCACTAATCATCAAAGAAATGCAAATTAAAACCAGAATGACATACCATCTCACACCTGTCAGAATGGCAATCACTAATAAATCAACAAACTACAAGTGTTTATGAGGGTGTGGAGAAAGGCGAACCCTTTTGTACTCTTGGTGGGAATGCAGACTGGTACAGCCACTGTGGAAGGCGGTATGCAGTTACCTCAATAAATTAAAAATGGAACTGCCTTGTGACCCAGTGATCCCACTTCTGGAAATTTATCTGAAGAAACCTGAAACACTAATTTGAAAGAACATAAGCACCCCTATGTTCATTGCAGCATTATTTACAAGATTTGGAAGCAGCCCAAGTGACCATCAGTCGATGAATGGGTAAAACAACTATGGGACATTTACAAGATGGAATGCTACTCAGCCATAAAAAAAGAAAATTTTAGCCTTTGTAACAGTGTGGATGGACCAGGACAACATTTTGTTAAGAGAAATAAGTCAGTCAGAGAAAGCCAAATACCATATGATTTCACGCATATGTGGCATCTAATGAACAAACTGAACTAACAAGCAATATAGAGACAGATTCATAGAGAGCAGTTTGACAGCTCTGATGGGGAGGGTAGGGGTGAAGAGTTCAAGCAAAAAAGAAAAAGGACTCATGGACACAGATAACAGTATGGTGATTGCAGATGGGAGAGGGGTGGGTGGAAGTAGAAGAGGATATAAGGGGGATAAATGGTAGTGGAAAAATATACAATAATAAATAACCTATTGAAATACTTTAGAGGATTAGCAGATAAAAAGATTATAAAATCTACTATGGGGCTTAAACTGACATACAACTAATGCATATTAGTTAACTTATACTTAAACTACTAAATCTGTAACATTCCTGGAGATTCAAAGATAAGTAAAATATTTTTACAGATAAAAGTTATGAATGAAAATTGGACATTTTTATTTTCTTGTGACTCTTTGAGGATAAGTTTAATTGTTCTGGCCTTCTGGAAAGGTTGTGATCTCTTTATATCTGAATAGTTTTTATTGTGGTAGCAACTCTAGTAATATTTTTGAAATCTCTTTTTCTCTTTCTCTCCCTCTCCTTCTCCCCTTCCAACTGCCTTTCCCTCCCTTCTTCCTCTCGCTCTCTCTCTCCCTCTGAAAAAACCTATGGTTGTTTTTAACATACAAAAGAATAATACTTATTTTGATAACACTCTGCTTAATCATTTGGTCAATGAACTTTTGACCTGGTCTCAACATAAATCTATAAACCTTTAATGTGGAGCTTCAGGAAAACTTTATTTTTAAGGATAAATAAAAACTAATCTCTAATCTAAAGTTAAGACTTTCACATCATTTTCATCCAATTTACAAAAATAATGTAAAAATGTGTTGTCTAATTTCCAAATATCTGGGGATTTTTCCAGATATCTTTCTGTTAGCATTCTCTAATTTGAATCTGTTGTGGTCAAAGCATATAGTTTTAATTTATTGAGACATTTTATGACTCAGCATATGGTCTATTTTGGTTACTTATTGTTCCATGTAAATTTAAAAGAATTATATTCTGTTTTTGTTGATTGGACAATTTTATAAATATTAATTAGGCCAAGTTGGTTGACAGTGTTGTTGAAATTTTCTGTCTTCTTTCTGGATTTCTATTTGTTCTATCGACCAAGAGAGAAGCATTGAAATTGCCTACTATAAGTTTGGATTTGTCCATCTTCCTCTTCGGTTCTATCAGTTTTTGCTTCATGTATTCTAAAACTATGTTACTAGATGCATCACTTTCAGGATTATTGTTTCCTTCAATGAATTAACCCTTTTATTTTAAAATATCCTTTTTTATGTCTGATAATATTCCTTAGTCTGATATCAACTTGTGCTATACTCATATAGCACATATACTCATGCTTTCTTTTGATTTGTGTTTGTATAGTATATCCTATTGCTTCCTTTTGCTTTTAACTTATGCATAATTTTTATATTGAAAGTGAGTTTCTTGTATATGGCATATAGTTGTATCTTGTATTTTTCTCCAATATGAAAATCTTTGCCTTGTAATGGCATGGTTATACCATTTACATTTAATGTGATTATCAAGATGGCTTGGTTCACATTTGCCATTTTACTATTTGTTTTCTAAATGGTCAATGCTGCATTGACCATTTCTTTTTCCTTGTTTTGGATTGATTTTTAATGTTATTACACTTTACCTCCACTACTGATTTATAGCTATACTGGTTTTTTTTTTTCATGTGTACAGTAGTTTATCTAGGGTTTAAAACACATATCTTTATTTAGCATATTACAGTTTACTTTCAAATAATATTTATACCACATATAGTGTAAAGATATTTCAACAATATAGTTTATTTCCACTTCCTTTAATATTTCTTGTATCTCGGGTCTGCTGATGATGAGTTCTCTTGGCTTTTGTTTATCTCAAAAAGTCTTTTGCCTTCTTTTAAAAAATCTTTTATTGTATTTTTTCCATTATCATTTAGTCCTCTTATACCTTCTTGCCCTCAGCAAGTACCACGCTG